GCTAGTTTTGTTTTCAAATGGGAATCTTACTGATGTACTAGGAATACTTTTTAATTGCCCATTGACTTTAAACAAGAACTCAAAAAAAAAGGTAAGCACCCCCTCAAGAAAGAGAGGTGAAATCAGATTGAGTCTCTGAAAGAGGCAGGGACAAATGCCAGACCAGGTACAGGAAAGGCCTTTTGTGGCCCACACTAAAACCTGCACAACTGCCTGACCGACACTGAAGTCCCATTCTCAGAGTCAGGGGACGCACATCACGAGCAGTGCTTTCCTCAAGTTCTTCTAAGGGAGAAAGAAGGAAGTATATTTTCCCATTTTGTTTTGTTTGACCCTGATCTTAACCACAGGCCACTGTTAGTCAATTTTACTCAAGTGCAGGCACTTCCATACATATTCAAAGTTCAAAAGCTTTAAATAATCACATTAACATAACTACTACTTAAATAGGAAATTCTTTGAACCTCAAGAATTTTGTAAGGAACCCCGTGGAACCATTCCACCTGGCTTATCAACACCCTTCTTTCTCGGAGGTAGGCTAGAAAAGTGGCTGCATATCCAGTTTATAAGTCTGAAAAGCAATGGATGGCAAGCAGTAAGGAGCTCTATGACCAGACGGAAGTGACACAAACAGTGTACTCTCGTAGCGCATGGTGGGGTGCTTACGTTAGTTTGTCCTGGCAGGCTGAAAAATAACTGTAGAGACAACATCCCCGAAGCAATTTGGTATAGATCCAGATATTACCCCATGGACTACTGATTGTTCAGGGACATGGGTTGGGAACACCAATTTCTGAGGTTTGCGTTTTTTTATGGTATTTTATTGAGTTTGGGTAAAAGTTGTTTGGGGTTTTTTTTTTTTATTGCTACAAAAGAATAGGAACCTTTATTTAAAAACAAATTATTAAAATGTGAAGCTATTGTTTCACCACATATCCTCAATCTAGGTCTACATAATTTTTCTTTGATCATTTTATTGGGGGGCTCATACAACTCTTAACACAATCCATACAGACATCAATTGTGTAAAGCACATTTGTACATTCATTGCCCTCATCATTCTCAAAACATTTGCTCTCCACTTGTTTTTTTTTAACTTCACATATCAAACACGTTTCTATTTAATCATTCAGTTATATTAAGATTTGTGCAATTATGATCACAATAGATTTCAAAACATTTTCTTCTCATACTCATTGTTGCTAGCTCCCATTTCCCCCAAATCATCTCTAACTATGCTCCTAGGCAATTACAAATCCAGTTACTGTCTCCATAGATCTACCTACCCTGGATTGCATATACAGAAAATTATACAAAACACAGACATGAGGCCAAAAAAATTTAAAACGATTAGACAAAACACAGAAAAACATCAATCAAAAGAAGAAAATATTAAAAACCAAAACAACTTTAAAATGGGCCAAAAGGAGGAGCAAATGATCATGTATTACATCTAACTACACTGGCCATAATCAACTTTACAATGCCCTCTGTCTGATAGCAAGGCCATTCACATCCCTGGACTGTGGCCAGAGGGGACTCACCATGTGGATTAATCATGTGGAGACCTTGCAAATAGATGTTGGCTGTTCACTGTCATCTACAGCCTTCTGCAAACCACGTGATCACATTTTAAGCTCTGACACCACTCCCTCCTTCAGAGTTGGATTTTATTATTTACAATCCTTGGATCACACAGGCTGGTGTGCTGCTTCCATGGGAATTTAGTTGATGCCTCGCTTACATGGCTGCTTGTTTAAAAGACAAGCATTTAAGACCCCAGACACTATTCTTTGTGACAACTGGGCACCATCTGGTTTATTCACCACTTTCTGCTATAGCACCCATCTCCTCAGTGATCTCTTCTTGAAGGCGAGCACTGAACAGGACCATGTCATAAGAACTAATTGTTCTTAGACTGGGTCTAGAATTCAATGTGAGCCCCAAATCCATTCATATGTTTCTGATTCATTTTAGAGACATCGTTATCTTTTTTATGATAAGAGAACATTAGAAATCATCTCCCTGGGGCATAAGGTTTTTCTATGGATAGTGTAGTTAATTTAGCCAATGGGATAAAATTTAAAACACTGTTGAGAAAAGGAGATAATACAAGTATAGGTCAGCTTCAGAACATGAATTCTTCACTTGTACAGATTAAACTTTTAAGTGGCTGGTACATAAACAGAGTATTGATGATAAGGCAAAACTTTCATTAACACTCATTCACACAGGCAGAACCATGCCTGAATAATAAATATCATAAGAAAGCAAAAAGAGCATTGAAACAGTAAACATAAGGTAGTCCCAGGACACCATTCAAGGGACACCCTCAAAGCAAGAGATCCAAACCCAAAACCACGGACCACCAATTCCATAACCTTGGGATAGCAGTCATCTGCTCACCTCACACTAGAGCTTAAGTCCAAGGGAGTCTATCAGTTCCTTAAATCTGAGATTGAGGTAAAATCCAGTTCACGTAGTAGGATTTCCACATTGAATCCTTCTGGTGTGGCCTATGAAATATGTACACCTCAAAAGCGCAGAGTCTAAAGTCCCAGTAGTCTGTAACACACATCCTGGGTCACTGAGGGCTAGATAGAAACTAGGTCAAAAGTGTACAATTAGGAACACAGTACCAATTGTTCCTCTGGTCTACCCAATAAATAAGGTTCCTATAGGGCAATTTTCCTCACAAATTGTTCAGTGA